CTCGTGATCTTTTGCGGTAGCACTAAGACTCTTGCCTCCGGCCCTAGTTGCTACCATTGATGGGGAGGTTTGTAACTGAGGTGAGTGAGGCTTTACCGAGATGTTGCCGATACCAGATTTGGTCAGGACTCGATCATTACTCATTTCCAATGATGATTAGGGGGGGTATAAATGCGCTAGACAGATGGTTGTACCGAGCGAAACGTAGAAAAGCAATGATAGATAAAGTAAGTTTTCAGTCTTACCTGGGATTGCCCAGTTGTACGACAGAAAAGAATGCCCAAGGCTTCCCACAGGTCCAAGGTATTTGATCGAATGAGATAAGTAGCGCTGCAGTTGCAGCCACCTGAACTATAGCAGTTGATCGGGCAGTTAGACCCACCACACAGCTGACCTTTTGGAGAGTGACAGCATCGATCGACTGAGAGCTGTATGTCCCGTAGCAAAACGTTTTTCCAGTGAAACTGTAACTTTCTTAGAGGAAATATCCAATTGGGAAGGCTTATGTACAGTTATTTTCGAGTAGAATACAAACGAGACGAAACACGTGAGTATTCAAAGAGCGAGCTCAGCTTAGAGTATGGTCACACATCAGAAAGACTTGTATGTGGATATATAAAGGTTATCAAAATGAAAACAGTATAGAAGTAAACGACGTATCAGGCCCAAAACTAAAGATGTTTTCTTTGTCGGGATTTGCAGTCACGTCAGGCTCACCGATTTAGGAATTGTCCCGATGCAAACTTGACAGACCCAGAGGCCAATCACCAATTATTCAAACTTGTTATATACCCACAAATACGAAACCGAGAAAGAAGACAACAAAGTAGTCGGATGGAATAGTATATTTGCGAGAACCCGCCAAGATACCGATGCGTCCCAACTAACTGGCTGAAGGGTCGATTACGAGCTGTGCAACGTTTTGGTTTTGCAAAGCTAGGGACTTATGGAGACCTAACGACAACGGTTTGGAAATTCGGTGATCCGGCTTTTCCTTCTTTTCTTAAGATAGACGTAGGACAGTGGAAGCGTATAGTTGCGACTGGTGGATATGATAACAAAGTTGTCAAGACGACCTGCGCAGTGGATGTTATTAATAATTCATGAATTCAATCCATCTGTATTGTAGACATCAAAACACCACACTCAGAACAAATAAGCTTTATCTAGCACAGCTTTAATGTTAAGTGGGAAATGTAGAGAAGTAAAGCGGTATAATGCCCCAAAATCATCGGTAATACACTGTAGTGCGGCGACTGACCCGTCAACTCTAACTATTCCCTGGCTTTTGAATGAGTGAGGACCGTTTGCATGCCTTCTCACGTGCAATTAGGCTAGCCGGTGGTCCTGGGTGAAAACGTCTCACTTCTTCCGAAAGAATACGTGCAGACACCGTGTCCATTTTCGCCCTACACACGACATTTTTAACTGCCTCCAAAAAGGGGGTTTTCTCCGCAGAGTATTTGCATCTGCATTTATCTTCTGGCCGGCAGTCTCCTGCATATTCCCGGACGCTGTAGTCCAACGAGTCATCAGTCCCTACCTCATCAAGGGAATTCAGTTGACGATCTTATTTTAATAGCTCAGGAATACCCTGGAACTTACTGCTTGGTAACTCGGGACTGGAGGTTGCAATGCACGGCAGACGTGATTCTGTCTTCGTAAACAAAACTTCCGAAGAATTAACTCCCAAAGGTATATTCAGTTGTTCATTCCTCATCCCTCTGAATGAGACGAACATACCTTGATGCGTAGACTGCTCATGCCACTTTTGGTTTTCTATTTCACTTCTTGAGGAAGTTGGATTATCGGCTTCATGCCTACAAACAAGTGGAACACAAGACGGTTTATTACTTATCGTACTACCCAGAAAACAAGGAGTTAGAAAACTGATGTTAAAAATAACACGCTAACGATCAGGCCTGGCCGATGAGAAGGAATACATTTGTTTATAAATGTAAGCGTTCGCGTACATGTGAATACAGCAAATTAAAAAACTTGAAGTAAAGTATCCTCAAGACCCAGAAGCGAAAGCTCAAAAACTACAAGTCTCCTCTACTTGCACTACTGGTATTGAATGTCGGAGACTTAGAGCGGACGAAACGAATAGACTTACCGCAACACTTCACCATCAACTCGTCAGATTCAACCAGAATATGTTTACAGAATGTTTGGTGTACTGAAAGCGTGTTCAATATTGTAGGTGATACCAGTAGTTTTACACATTTGAATTATGAGAAACAGTGAACAGATGAGTGAAATAATTGTCTGGTACTCGATATTCTTTATTTTCTTACTTGCCAGTGCGAAAAATTGATTTCCGCTAAGTCGTTCCTAGGTTTTTGATGGATTCAAGTAAGAGGAGCAACAATCCCGCAGGCAATGCGTTCCTGTGGTCTCTAGCTAGAGGGGAAAATTCGTGAACATACACGGGTTTTCTCCCTTTGGATTACTTGATATTCTGTAGGCTGTCGTCAGGCCTCCGCGTAACCTACAGTAACCAAGATGGTAAAACTCTAGGTATTGCAGTCTGTCCGCGTAGGAGTTTCGCTACATTTTCAGCTTCTCCGTTGCTCCAATGCAGATTCCTCGGGAGGTTCACATTACTTTTCAGGTATGGTGGTGCAGTGACTTTGTGGGCTTCCGGGTTAGGTCGTGGATAGGTCTTACAAAGCTTCAGGAAGAGTTCTGGAGTTAGGCCACCCAGTTGGCTGTTCAGGAAGCGCATTACCACGTGGGCTCTGGAGGCATCTCATGGTTGCTTAGAGCAGATATCTAGCTTGTCTGCTGCCCTTTCAGCTGCAAACATACCTCAGTAGACCAAGGCTCTGCCTCTAGTCCTACTAGGTATTCGCAACGCGTTGAAAGCTTATGTTGGATGCACCTCTGCAGAACTCGTCTATGGGACTACTCTTCACCTACCAGGTGAGTTTGTTTCCCCTTCAATTTTCAAACATGTTTGCGACAGGGCATCTTACGTGACTAGGCTTACAAACGCAATGCGTTCAGCTAGGCCTTCTCCGGTTAGACCTCAAACGACTGACGTCTTCGTTCACCCCGTTTTAAAAACGACATCGCACGTGTTCATTCGCCACGATGCCATTCGTCGACCACTTTGACCACGATGGACCATTCAAAGTGATTAAGCGGCACAAGAAATTCTATAGAATCGGGCGAAGCAGGCGTGAAGATACTGTTAGTATCAATCGTTTGAAACCAGCTTATTCCGAAGGCAGCCGCATCATAAGTGACGTTTCACCTCACTATAGTCAACCGGCGGATGGCCCAATTATCGAAATTCTAGACTATATGCCTGGTATCTGGAAATACACAGTTACAACAACCACCGGCGCAACGAAAAACATGATCAGGTCGAACCGTCAGTTTCCCGGGGTATTTAAAGTCATATTCAGTTAAGTAGTGTGAAATAAAATGTGCTACCATTTTTTACTCAAAATTATTTTTTTCGGGGCACCATTTTTTTATTTACTGGGAACGCGAAAATCCTCCTTTTTATACCAATTTTCTTACTACCACTTAATGGAACTTTTTCAAAAAATGGAAATAAGCATAAAATCTATTTTCGATATATTCATATATAGATGTTTCCCATTTTTACGAAACGTTTTCGTGGTATTAAAGACTTTTCTTTATATTCCAGGTGCAACGAGCACTGAACGGAACGTCAAAGGACACTGAGGACCGCGACCGACCTACAATTCAATTTATTGTATTTTATTTTTCATTTGCCATGACACCCTAGAATATGTCCAGACAACCAGGGGCCACTTCTCGCAATGAGCCCATCGGAAGAGTCTTACCAATGAAGAAACCATTAAGTTTTTACTTCCGGCTGGTATTGTCTTAGGGTCCTCACGAACCCATTAGGGGTGGGGAGTGGTCTGTAGCGTCACACTTCTCCAGAATCAACTGCCTAAGGTTCGACGACATTGAACACTGATGCTGACCTTCATAGTTTAACTGAACTCGCTAAGCTGAAGGCACCCGGTCAAGCATCCTCACCATTTGGCACGCTGTCTTGTTACGTTGCACTGCTCGCAATCGGCTCTCCAGCCAGTTAGTTGGAACGTATCGGTATCAAGGATATTTCCAGCAAACTACAGACATTCGTCAACAAATGCCTACGCTCGTTACTTAAACTCAGACGGCCAGAAATAATAAGCACCAAGAAACTCTGGGAGCGAACCAACCAAGAGCCAATCGCTCAACAAATGTGGAGAAAGAAGTGGAGATGGATTGGGCATGCACTTGGATGGCCGACTGGGGGCATCACGCGTCAGGCCTGTCGCTCGAGTGGAACCCCTATGGGAAGCGACAAGTTGGGCGTCGGAGGTCGGCATCGAGGAGATCGTGCCAGGATGAAATGAGAGGTTGTGGGCTATCATGGAGCTAGGTTCAAAAGATTTCAGAGAATAGAGTTCATTGGAGACGTGCTACTGAAGCTCTGTGTTCCATTAGAAACCTAAGGGACAAATAATAATAATAATAATAAATCGGTATCTTGGCACAACCGCCTAAATTTACCGTTCCGTCCAACTACGCTATCGTGTTCTTCCTTCTTCTCGTATTCGTGAGTACATAACGATTTCGAATAACTAGCGGTTGGCCTTTGAGTCTGGCAAGTTCACGGCAGGTCAATTCCTAAAAACTCAACTGCACCACATTCCCAGGCAAACTAACCAACACTCAGCTTCTTGTTCTGCATACTGGATCTATGGTAGATGAGTGGCTTTAACTGCTGCATATGAGTCCGTCAAAGAGCTGAAACCGTTCCGTAAGACCAAAAAGCAATCACACGGAAATCAACTGGTTTGCTCTAACTGGATAAACAGATATTGGGTCAGTTGCATAAGTTTACGCCATCAAAAATAAGCTCACTATAAGAACATATAATCATCGCAAAGAGTTAGATGCGTGTAACGTATTATTCTTCCTAATTAGTATGAGGTGTGAACTTAATGTGTTTTACTGAACCAACATGAAATGTTGTGTCTAATAAAAGCCTTGCCAGGTGTACGTGTAATTTTGATTGTTTTGGGGATCGTTCTCTGCACATGTATCGATCACTATATTGTGCTGTTTATTTCTTCCTCATCCCTTTAAATGTCATATTTGCTAAGAAATTCGATGCTTCCAATTGTGAAGGTAATCTTATATATTGCATTTAAGAACTTCACAGTGTGTATGAACTTCATTGGGTCATTTGTTCAGTCTCTCCAACCTAGTGACCGAGAAACTTCGGAAAAGATCAAAGAAGCTTTTATTACTAAATGCGCAGCAGCTGTTGGGAAGGATAGTGACTTGGTAGGATATTTTTAAAAAAAATATCTTTAGTGCTATCATGTTGGTGGTCTGAAAACGTCTGCAGTAAGTACACTTAATCGTTTGGTTGATCCGATAAAATGGCAAATGCCTGTAGAAAGGGTGTGTCAAAAACTGTTTGAGTTGGACCCTCAAATTTGTGAACTAAGATATGGTAAGTGTAATCCGTGAGTGTTTACGTCTTTTCAGCGAAAGTTATAGATCTCAAGGAGTTTGATTTCAAGAAGCCAAAGGTCAAAGATTTGAAAAAGATCATAGATAAATGGGGATTAGAATGTCGAGGATGTTCAGAGAAAAGTGACTTTATCCAACTCATCAAAAACAATATCCGTAAATATGACCCAGAAGCCGCGTCGTATTTAGAATCGCGAAACGAACTTTAAGCTATCGTATACCTTTTTTGTACAAAATCTTTAAGTTTTCTTTAGTTTGTTTGTTCGATGTAATGTAATGTAATGTGATTTTGTTTTCAGTAATTTTTTTATGCGAACTGTTGTAGTCTCTGGACTTACTGCTATCAAGATATACTTGCACAGTTGTAATGATTACTTGGGAGAAGAACCGTCTTTTTTATTGCCCATACCTGGTGTTTTGTTAATTCAAATATCTGTAGCAAGTTAAGCTGTATAATAGACCTACGCAAGTACTCGAGCTCGATGAGAATTGAAATTCAGGTATGGTGGAACAAGAAGAGAAGACACGAAGAACGTCATATAGAAGTGCGTCGGTGCAAGTTACCATATTTCATAGCATCATGACAAAAACGAGTGGTTCGAAAAGTAGCAATGTAAAGGCAAAAAAGTATTAGGTTGGAGAAATAGTCTCTAAAAAGGTTAATAAGAATGTCCAGCTTCCAGAAAAAAGTGATTATATTTGCTCCATTGTGACCGAGTTTCAGTCATGTCACCAGGATTCTCTAACTCCAGATTCCTATCTCAACGACCACGCTTAGGTGATCCAAGCTCATCTAAGCGGCTGAGATCAAGAGTAAGACTCCATGGACTGATGCTACGTCCTTTGGCCACCCGAGTTTTCTTCCAACGTAGTCCTACTTTGGCTAACATTACGCATTAAGATAGGTGGTAGCTCTGGATGCTCAACACGTGTCCAAGCCGTCTCGTTTAGAGAAGGTTCATAACCTTACTAACCGAATTGCTCTCCTTGACGAATACACTTCGCCTAACTCCGACGTAGCTCACACGGTGATTGCAGCATACGTAAACAATTCTACAAAGACACCTGTCTTTGAAAAGTTGTATATACTTTCAACGGCTAACTGTTGTTCAGTATACCCATCCTTTAACAGGTAAAAGGATATCAAAGTGGTCAGTGCCACAGATGATGTAAGTTGGCAAATGCCGAACAAGCCTGCATCCGAGCTGAGATTTCGTCAGCAAACACCCCGTTCGGGCTGATGCAAGTCTCCAAGTCAGTCAAGTGGTTAACATCCTACCACTTCTCCCCTATCCTTAAACTGGAAGTAGCCGTAGACCAGTCAAGAAATACCATCTTACATTTGACAGGTGTCAGACACATGCAGAATTCCGCTCAAGGTGTTCAAAATAGTTATGTTGTCATCGGTTTCACGTAAAAGAACAGTGTTTCCTGTGTACTCCAAGTCAACCAAATGTTTTCCAGGAAGTAAATCAATCCTTATGAAGTCATGTACCTAAGATAATGTCCATTGTTACTATATCTATGAGGAAAATGAACTGGAACGGTAACAGTAAGTATCCTTGGTAGACACAACTAGTTGTCGTCACTTCAAATGATAGCTATAAGTAATCCCTTGCACGACTGCATGAGTTCGAGTGAAGAGGTTCGATTGGCGCTACACACTTGCTCGGCAATTTCTTCACAACAGACACTCAAAATACCTTAGTTGACAGAGTCGAATGCTGCCTTCATGTCAAGAAGTATGGTAAGTGTCGGTAGTCAGTAAGTACGCTTTTGTTACAAGACCTGCCGAAGGGTGGAAATCTAGTCAATTCACCTTCCTTGTTTGAAGCGAACTAAAACAAGAGTGTGACTTACCTATGCGCTACGACTGACTTTTAATTAAGCTTAAATACTCAGTTATCTAGCTTGGTTGATTCTATGAGCTTCAGTTTATATCCTTTATAATCTGCCTCTTGATTTCATAACAAAAGACGAACTGAATTATGTGATTTGAACGCAGTCAATGATATTGTTGGCTTCTGATAATAAAAGAAACGACTGCCTTTTAGCGGTCACGTAAATATCCGATTACTGGGCTGTAGACTGCGTGTCATATGAGAACTGGGGATTCTTTCAAGAAAATAACTATTGGGTATATCTAGAAGAAAGGATCTCTAAATTTAGATTTAGCAAAATAAGTAATTCCATATTAGATTTGTTTATTTGATATGGCACGCAGTTATACAGTATTATTTACTTGATGACATTTCGAGCATAACTTATTGCTCATAGTCATATCAATGTAATCATCGAAGTTTTACATTTATATTATCAAAAAAGGATGATAAGTTGCTCCCTAACAGAAATTGTAGGTTTCATTGATGCTTCTAAAGGGTATATATTCCTGTGGAGTAATATGAAAGTAGTCGATATCTAGATTTCATCTTTTGGTTACAAATCATTCTTCATAAGATACTGTGGTTAATGTTCATGATTCACCCAAGTCTTCAACAGCATGTCTCAATGAAGGAAAGAGAAAAGTATTCAGGCGCCTTGTACACATCTGTGTGGTAGGCAATGAGCCACACCTATTGTGTAAGGGCTAGTAATACTACCTAGCTACCCAAACCTCGGTAGGTGGGGTGGGTTTCGAACTCGTGGCCCACTGGTTGGCAGCTGTCTCCCTAAACTAATGAGCCACAGCTCCACTGGGCGACAGCAATGTGTAGGATCTACAAATAACTCAGGAAGGCTGGCTCGAGAAATTTGAACAGAGAGGTATTTCCTGCTTCAACACTGCAACAGTTTCTTTCAAACTAGGTCTTATAGTGTAGTTAGTACAAACTAGAACACCATTTTACCGAACACCCTTTGCATCAATTTTTACAAACCCGGGTAACTCCTTATTGATAAATATATAGTAGGTAACAGCAAATCATATGACGGACTGCATATATAGTGCATGTCTAAAGTTAGCACACATGCATTCTTGTGACAATCTACTGAGCGTTTTTAGAAGTATTTATTAAGATTATTCAGAATAGGTAAATATGCTATTCCAAATGTATTTAGGATTCATGGAAATAAGTTACCAAAGTCACTACGTGTGTTTCAACTTTCATACTGCATTATCCAATACCTAAATATATATGAAGGTTATATATCGTTCACTTTTAAGATGTATCATTGGAAACAAAGTTTCTTCGGACATATGTCGGTCAACTTAGTTTTATTCGATGAAGTCTTTTAGTTACAACTTATTTTCGAAACTTATTCATGTGATATTTCCAAACCAGAAACTAACTCAACAATGTCAATCTGACGTCAGTCGAACTAGGTCTACGTATCATATAATCTGCGCACCACGTTTAAAGAAAGTCAATATCTTGGCCAACTAACTTTTACTACCTACGACTATATTTTCAAATTGCTTTCCTCAAGTCAGCACCAACATGATATTATAGCGTAACGGTCCAAGTCGCCACAGCTCATTTCATAGCACCAAAGTAGAAGACACCAAAATGAAAGATAAATAAATAAGGAAGAAAGTAATCAAAAGTAGTAGAAAGTCACAAAAGAGAGATAGAAAGGATAAAAACAATAGCGGAATTTAGTATGACGAATAAAGTGAAAATGATGTGTGGATGCGTGTTCACCTGTGATATTGGTTTCAAGCCATATCGCTTAGATTCTTTAACCACTGGTTTCTGTTACCAAGTGAAACCCAATCGGGAAGTTCACACTTCCCTACATGGCTCAAACCAACAATCAGAGACTTCATGGACTGTTGCCTTTTTTAAAGACCGATCCCCTCTAACCTCTCTCCAGCTTGATCTACTTCACCTAACATTGCTTGAAAAGACAGACGGTAAACAGGGATGCATAACACATGTTTTAGCCACGTGAATCGATTAAAGCTTGCAACCTTATGAACTGACTTTCCTCTGCTGCCTAAACCTCTATATCTGCCTTCTGAATTATTGATATAATGACACCAGGACACAGTCTATGTTAAGACGGCGACGGTGGCCGAACACATGAAGCCTGTCTTCTATATTTAGTGGCCGTGTTTTACAGCCGTATTGTAAAACAAAGCGAGTTGCAGCACAATGCACTCCGTGTTCAGTAGGCAATCAGATATCATAATGGCGCCATAGATGGCGGAAGCCAAGTTATCCTTTTATGTTTGTTCCAAGATTTTGCTGGTTTCTAACCCACAATGGCTGATTCCACTTTTCAAGTAAGTGTTGTGGTCAACGTGCCTAGGCCATTCACTCCCTATTGTAAGGCGAGGCATTTATTTGAATCATTTCTGGAAAAACGACTCGCATTTGAACGGTAGGAAAGTTATCCTAGACATTCAAATCGCTAAGCGAGGTGCTCAGAGAACTCCATATTTTGTCAGAATCTTCACTTAGAAGAACTTTTATCTGTAAATGCATATTTTTTGTGAGGGCTGGATACTGCCTGGGCTCCCAGACCGAATCAGGTAATTCTTAGATGACCACTCTCCGAACCTTTGACTTAAAGTCTAATCCACACGACAGAGTAGCAACATCGGGAGCAGCATTCCTACGGTTGGCGGTGGTTAAAATAGGTTCATACGCCATTCGTTCCATCTAGAACTTGGAGCTCATTAGCACAATTGGTTTAGAATCAGGGTTTTCCAACTCCCCTAGGTGAACCCTCAGTATCCACCAATCCCGTGATTAGCGCCAGATATTTGCTTGCGCCCTTTCACGTTTGTAGAAATATCCCTGTCAAGTGAAGGCAGTGAATAGGACTTCTCTGGCAGGGGCTGTGAACACGTACCAGAGCATTTATGAGCATCTTAGTACTACAGGTTTACCTGAGAGTCTCCTGTGAGTAGGTCAATCTCTGTAAAGTCAAGGAGAGAGACTCCATATGGTTGTCTGTGACAAGATTAAACGGGAATGGAGAAAGTGGGTATCCTTGACTGACCCTACCCTATTCACATGTTACCTTATCATAGGCTGTAACACTTACAAATGTCGGAATATAGTAAAATCTTGCTAAGACGATAAAAATCAGTTAACTTGTCTGGAGTCTACATTTTCCGAGTAACATAGGCATGTGAAAAGTTCGCTGAAGTCTTTTTATTTTTGTGTGAACACAACACGTTCAGCCTAGATATATTAGCTATATTTGACAAATCCTTTCCCGCTTATTACAGTTTAACATCAAGTCACCAACTGCTAAGATACTAGATAATTACTTCATCCTGTTTTTCAAGTATGTCAGATACTTCAAAGTACTATGGGTTCAGACAGACCTCTAAAAAATCAACTCATTCATTCTAGTTACAGGTTGACCAAAGAACAGTCCATAAAGCCTAAGTAATTAAATTCTAAAAGTCTTGACTAATACACTTCAGTTTAACATTTTCAAATCAATGCCACT